TGCTTATCTACTGCTTCTTCTTTCCCCATCTTGACACAGCTCTTAGAACAGCGTAGTATCTTCCTCGTCAGTGTCCTCAGGAGCACTTTTAAACGACGGTACCTGGTAACACTCTTTCTTTTCGTCGATTTCCATGAATTCAATGTATGTTTTATCACGAGTCATCAGCGTCTCAAGACGTGGGATCAAGGCACTGAACGAGGGTCGCTCTTGAGTGTCATCATTCCAGCAGTTCATCATAACTTCATACCTATGTTGAATTGAAGTTTACACCTAATTAATATGTGTTCATATTACGCTGAACGTCGATGTATAAGGAGTGCAAGAAAGAATACAGTCCGTTTGATTGCGAGCTGCCTAGAGCTGGAAAATTCTACGACAGAGCCTTCATTGTTTCCTCGATGAGCACGGGCCAGCACCGTACGATCATTTTCGAAACGAATTTGGAGGATCGGCCAGTCTTCTTTGCTTGCTTCGACCTTTGTGACTGAACGGTACGACGAATCAAATTATAATTACTTAATTACAAATACAATTTTAACTGAACGATTTATGAATACAATTTTCTTTTTCGTTAAAATCTAATTATTTTTAACTTTGATTCTTGACAACCAGCCTGCACTTAAAAGACAAGTCTAACCGCAATTATGTAACATTGGTACGCGTGGCCGAGTGCCTTCAATTTCTAATTCAGAGGTCTGAGGTTTGCGACTCAGAGGAGCTGAAATTTCTTTAGATTTCTTTCTTTGCCAAAAAATAAATAAATTCAATCATGTATAGAACAAGAAACCCGGTAACGGTAAATTAATGAGTAAATTACTAGAAAACAATGAGAATAAATTAATAGTTCTGAACACAAGTAACGCAGTCTCAARTTTACAGGAAAGTGAGTGACTGAGTGAGCTTCGCAATCTCAGAGTTAAAAATGAGATCAGAGAAGGAATCCTTGTTACCCATTTTACGAAGTCCGCGAGGTCACTAGTCGTTTTGTGGCGCCAGAAAAGATATATCCAACACTACGAATTTGCTTTAAAAAGTAAGAGACGTCTTAAGAAACCAAAAATGAGTTTAACCATGATGCATGCCTATTAATTTGTGATAAGTTTGCAATAYTTACATATCATCAGGGCAATGGTCTGGTTTCTCCATTCGATAGCCATTTCTCAACTGGTTTACCAGCTGGGTATTGGTGAAGGTTGGGTAGGGAGCTCCACCTGAAATTAATAGGGATAAATTTAGTTAAGGCAACACTAGCTATCTATTTAACAATAACACCTCGAGGTCAAGTGGACTACGAGCTAATAGCCCATGAGGCCGAGTCCGCGATTATTATGTCACCAAAAGACTTTATACAATACATATAAATTAAAATGCTTATTCATCGCTTTGCTTTGCTTTGCTTTGCTTTGCTTTGCTTTGCTTTGCTTTGCTTTGCTTTGCTTTGCTTTGCTTTGCTTTGCTTTCAAAAACGTGTGATATCTTCAAAAAAAGATATATGATCTTTAAAGTCAACACTATAAAATCTTACTGAACATGGAAACTGAATACACACTTACCCAATGAGTATATCTCCCAAAGAACTATCCCATAAGACCATCTGTAAAACAAAGATTTCAAGCGTTATAGTAGTACACAGGAAAAAACAATTACGCACTTTAAAAGGTTGTCAATTTGATGTAAATATTATCTAAGTGTTCAAAATGAAGTGAATTTGAGTTGTAAATTTGCTGTAAATGATTTACATCAAAAGTACACAAATACACTTAAGGAGGCTCGAAATGGTTACCAGAAAATGCATAAATGCCTTCTTTGAATTGAATTTATATAATATTGTATTACAACTATGTACAGCCTTTTGCACAAATTATGAGACATTTTTATATATATAAATATACCTAACCAAATATCAAAAACACCCCAGAAATTATGGTATATCTCTATTATATTTTGTCATGATTGCCTAGCATCAGGTTGTTACAGACAAAATATCAGCGACGGTATCCCATAATTTCTTGGGTGTTTCTGATATTTGGTTAGGTATATTTATATATATAAAAATGTCTCATAATTTGTGCAAAAGGCTGTATTTAATCCATATATCATCTTAAAGTTTTAGAGTTCGTGATACATATTTTTTTAAAGTCATCACTCTGGATGTTACCATGACAACGTCAGACCCTTGTAAAGAGGACCCTTATTTCGTCCATAGTAATCGATATCTCCAAATCACCGCGGTAAAAACGTCTATAATGTTATATATGGAAATCTCCTTATTTGATCTCGTCACTGACAAAAAAAGAAAAAATCCTGTAATGCAGATCCCTTAAAATTTCACAGAATGTAGTTTTTTGAAATAGAAAAACGTTTTCATTACAGAATTTTTTTTAAAT